GAAGGGGATGCCGGGCCAGGGGCAGGCCCGCAGAGGCGGTTTCCGTTCGCTCCTCCCCAGCAGGCAACGGGCCATGGCGGGACCAGGCTTGGCAATGCCAGGGAGGCTGCAAAGCGACCTGCTCCGCCGTGGGGAACCTCCCCGGTGGGAGGAATCGGTGGGTGCCGGCCTGGGCAAGGACAGGGCCGGCACACGTGGCGTGGGAGCTGCTCGGGCACGTTTAAAGCCAGGGACATGTGGCTGCCAGACACTGCGGGTGCCCAAAGTTTGTATCGAGCCTGCAGGGGCTGTGTTTGCAGAACAAAAAGGCTGATTACTGGCTGATAACTCCACGGCTCGGGATGACAAAGCGAGGAGACAACCAGCTGCCAGGGGGTGGCTGGGGGTCCCCTGGGAGCAGAGGTGAAATGGCTCATGGCTGTGCTGGGTCGTTCCCTGCCACCCAAATCCCATCGGGACAGGGCATCCAGCAGCAGATATGTGTCCCTGATCAGTGCTTCGCAGTGCCTGGGGTACCTGGCGGGGGGTCTGGGGGGAGCAGTGTATGGACGGGAGGTGACAGCTCTGCGGGGGGTCCCATCTTGGTCTCAGGGTGGGTTTGATCCAGGCTGGCTCTGCACAGCTGTGCCTGCTCCCCAATCCCAACCCGTGGCCCCACATCCTTGCTGACATCCCTGAGCCCCTGCCCCCCCCCGCCCCCCAGCAGCAATCCCCTCTGTCCCTGCTGCTCATGGCTGTTTTCAGAGAAATACCCCCTCTTCATGTGTCTGGGACCATGTCTCTGCCCCACTTGTGGCTGTGTCTTCTGCCCTTCCCTGCCTTATCATGTTTTTGTACAGACCCTGGGTACAATAAACTGCTCAAATATTTGCACTGAGATGTCTGTGTGCGGCCAAAGTGGTGAGCTCCTCTTGTTTGGTTGGGTGGGGGGTGAAATCCACCTGCGCTGTGATTTCCCAAGGGAGCACCATCTCCTTATGCCCCCACCCCCCGATGTGAGGCTGGGCAGGAGCCATGGAACTGGATGCTGGGGGCTTGCTGTAGGGCCAAGCATGACTCAAGAGCAGCCGTGGCACTGCATGGCAGGACGGCACAGCCTTTGGGGCTCAGGGTAGGGAGCCTTGACACCCCAGGGGTGTGGGGCAAGCACCCATCTTTTTGGCTGCAGGGTGGCAGAGGCTGCGCTGACGGCTCCCCGGGGGACCTTGTGCACGGATGGCACTTTTATGTCACCTCACAGTCCTGCAGCCCTTTGGTGCAAACGGTGCCCTTGGCAATGCCCCTGGCCCTCCTGTGCCCATGGGGTGGTTTCAAGCAGCCATGCCTGTCTTTTCCCCGTGGCACTGCCTGGCACCCTCTGTGCCAGCCCAGCGCCAGGCACTGCTTTGCCCCAGCACGACTCAGGCTGGGCTGTGGCAGCAGGACCCCGAAGCCGCGTGGCACCGAGGGGGACAGTGCCTGCCTTGTTGCAGTCCCCTGAGGCAGGCGGTGGTGGCCAGGGAGCAGTCCCTGCTGCTCCAGCCGGGCTCTTCTCCTCCCTCCTGGGCGGGGAGAGTGGTCAGGAGATAAAAGGGAGACCAGGGCCAGCTTGGGCATTGCTGAGAGCCGCTGGGACTGGGAGCGAGTTCTGGCCAGAGGACAGCAGTGAAGAAAAGTGCGGTATTGAGGGCTTGTTCTCGCGGGGGGAGAGGGCTGGGGATTGGGGGTGCATCCATCCTGACCAGAACCTGCAGCCCCCTTCTCCCTCCCCCCCTCTCCAGATCATCTCTCCCAGCCCCTTGTCCTTCCCCTGCCCATTAAGTGTGCTGCATCCTGGAGGGATAGGGTGTATCTGGGGGTGGGCAGGGTTAGGGGGCTGTGGGAGGAAGGGGCTTCAGGCAGATATTGGGGGCAGGGGGGTTAAAGGCTCTATGCACCCCTCAAGCACTCTGTGGGACATTGAGAACTCTCAAGGTGACCTGAAGGTGAAACCATCCCTGCCCCACTGACTCCCTGCCCATGGTCAGGACAATGGGGGCTGTATCCCTGCCCACCCCTGGGGCAAAGGCAGACCCCTGCCCATGTCTGAGTCTGGCTTTTGGAGTTGGGGAGGTGGAAAGGGCCCAGAGGGGCAACAGGACCTTCCCCTGCCACATGTGGAGCGGGTGCCTCACCACAGGGGGACACCGGAGCACCGGGCTGTGGCAGTGGGTGCCTGTGAAAGCCAGTGTTGAGAGTGCAGTGCTTGTTGGGAGCTGGGCACCCCAATACGCTCACCTCACCCCCCCAGTATGGGTGTCCCAGCTCCCAGTGCCATGCTGGGACCAACATGATACTGCCCACCAGTCTCTGTCTGCCCTGGAGGGGTGTGTGGGGAGGCAGTTTGGGGTTGCAGTGGGGTTGGGAGGATCCCATGGGGTTGAGCCCCGGGGCAGGGGAGACGCAGAGGCTGGCGGTGGGGGTTAACGGCCTGTTTCCCCCTGCCAGAGCCGAGGGTCCAGGATGGGGCTGCTGGTGCTGGCCCTGGCCACCTGGCTGGGGCTGGCCTTGGCCTCCGAGGGGGTGACCAACAGCAGCCGGCTCTGCCAGGAGGCTCCGGCGTGGAGCATCAACGGCTTGAGCCCCATGGCAGGGGCGGCAGGGCAGGTGACGGTGGTGGCCCTGCTGAAGGCCAGCTGACACTTCTGCCTGCAGCAGGCCCACAAGTGAGCTCTGCTCCCCTTAGCTCAAACCCAGCCCTGCCATTGTGGGGGACAGCATGGTGCCCCCCCCCAAGCTGGCACCCCCAGTCCCAGCGCCTCCTTCCCTGCAGCCTCGGGGCCCTGCAGGAGAGGCTGGCCCGGCAGGGCACTGTCGATGTCCGCTACATGATCATCAACGAGAAGGCACCGCTCTCCCGCGCCATGTTCGGGGAGCTGGAGCGCCAAGCCCCGCCGGGCGTCCTCGTCTTCCAGCCGGAGCCAGAGGAGCCTGACGTCTGGCAGGTCCTGGGGGGAGACAAGGACGACTTCCTCGTCTACGACCGGTGAGTGTCCCTCATCTTGGCTAGGTCTTTCCTGGAGGGTTACAGAGTGTTTGGTGGGCTTCCAAAAGCTCCCCCCATGGGTGGGCTGGGGGGACCCCAGACCCACCGCCTCAATCTGGGCCATGGTTTCTCCCCACAGGTGCGGCCGCCTGGCTTTCCACATCCAGCTGCCCTACAGCTTCCTCCATTTCCCCTACGTGGAGTCGGCCATCCGCTTCACCCACGCCAAGGACTTCTGTGGCAACTGCTCCCTCTACCCCAACACCACCCAGGAGGTAAGGAGCAGGGATGCTCACTGGAGCTGGGCTCCCTTCTCTCCTCCGGCATTGCACATGAGGAAAAAAAGCAACCCTATCATCTTCACATCGGGGAGAGGCTCTGGGTTGACAGCTGCACTCAGCCATGGTTGAGAGGGAAGGTGATGAGAGGGAATAAGGGCACTTAAATAGGTCAGAGCTTTCAGGCTGAGAAGGAATGAACTAAAGGGGTCATAACCCAGGTCTGGAAAAGCTAACTGGGGTCACTGGCTGTTCTGATAAAAGAAAGGGGCAGGCAGCAAACCCAGAGGTGGCAAGCCTGGAGCAAAGAAAAGGACGTAACTCCAGGCTCAGCAGGCAATTAGTCACCTCCTAGGAGAAAAATCCATCTAGAAATATTAAATGCAAAGTCCTTTTCCTGACGCAGGAATTCCCGGGACCACAGACAGCTTGAGCCAAGGCATGTAGGTACAGAGGCTTGTGCTCTGTGTGCTCCAGCCTCTCCTGTCCTCTCTGTGCTCTGGGCTGGGGCTGGAGAGCCTTTGCTCTGACCCATACAGCTTTTTGTATGATGGATGCTGATCAGCTTTCACCCCAGCTCGCAGACGTGCTCGCAGGCTCACTGAGGAGCTCTGTGTGCATTCACATACTTCACCAGCCCTTGTGTTACTTTCCTCAGGTTAACAGTACCATGGAGGTCCCTGTAACCCCAAGCCCGCTTCCCGAACAAGAGGGGAAGGAGCCAGAGACCCCCATCCACCAGCACAACCCCCTCCACCCTCACCACCACCACCAGGTCAGCAGTGAGAGAGCCACAGACCTGAGTGGGGACCACGAACCTGCCACCCATGCTCACCACCACCATGGAGATCATGGCCAGCCCCATCACGAGGGGAAGAAGCAGAAGGAGGGAAATGAGCACTAAGCCGGGCTGGGCAGCCTCGCAGAACCCAGTAGTGTGCAGGCCATGCCAACTCGCTTCCCAGAGGCACGGAAGGACTCGCTTTGGGCTGCTGGTCACCAGCAGCGTTGGCACAACAGCCCCCACCAGCAACCCCCATGTACTCCCATACTGTGACCAGGGATGAAAATCCCCCTCAGACACGCCGAGGTGCTGCATTTTCAGCGCCAGAGCTCAGTTCTGAGCCTTTCTCTGCCACTGCCCGCCTTTCCGTGCTCAATGAGGCTTGCCGTGCAAACCGGGAGCTCCCC